TGGATGGATGGATGGATGGATGGATGGGTGGATGGATGGGTAATCAATAATAATAGTTCTTCTGAAATCAACAAGAACCTTCCTCACATTCACCCTTCAATAAACTGAAGCAACAGTCTTTCACCACGGTGAACTGTCCCACTGTGTTGATTAGCAACACATGGTGTATATCATCTTGCTTTGAACTATAATTGCAGCTTAATAGTGATATATTGCAAATGACAAAATTCCTTCCTGGCGTACATACTTTAACTACTTCTATCAAAATCTTACTGCGATGTTTGTGTGAGACAAAAATACACAAGAGGATTAAATCATAAATGGATGAAGAGAAAAACTAGAAAAAAATAGATACGTGAGGTATCCCCGGACTGACATGGGAGTCAAACTGAAAATCAGATAATGAACAGAGAAAATAAGTGAAGAACAGGGAGAAAATAAACCAGCGTATTGAAGGAGAAACCAAAAAAACTAGAGAAACAGAAAAGAACAAGACAAGCTAAGTGCTGAAGAATGCTGAAGAGGAGGGGCAGGTATCCCTTTCAAATTTAAGAGATTGATAGGAAATCAATAATATTGGCTTCTACCAAGCTCTGAATGTTGACCTTTCTCTTCCATTAGTGTTTCACTGATGCCGTGCTAACAGATAAGTACACATAGGCAACAAACTTCAAGTGAATATAATGTGGATTTTTGTCACAACATTAACAGTTTAGTTTGTTGGTCCCAGATGTTTGTAGGAGTCTTTCCTGAAATACCTGCAGCATCAAACAGCAGCAGGATCCAGATGAGTGTCTCCAAAGAGGAAGAGCTGCACATTTACTCACAGAACAACAGCAGAAACTTTATTGATTACTTATAATCATTAATGATCTTTGATATGTTGACAGGATCGATCAAGGTCTATCAGCAAATGACACTGTGTACTTTTCTTCACCTCAGACAGGTGAGCTGCAGGCAGAATCACAGTTTATCACTTCAGTTACATCATTTGTCACACAGCAGCTGTCCTCAGGTTGAGTTCTGCCGGGATTTTAAAAAGAAAATTTCAGTAGTAGTTAGATTATCATCACGTACGGACAGAATTTTCACAGACCAAGAACTCATAAATACACGAGCCTAGACTATGTGGACAGTTTGATAAGCTCGCAATTAGCTCAGATTTAATCTCTTGTTTGTTAGTGCATTATAGTGTATCAGTAAATGTACTGTCTAATCCTGTTTGTATGGCAGTTATTGTGCTTGTACATGCTTTTCCCCGTCGCTGTGATGCGCATGTCTGAATGTTTCCTGTGTCTGAATGACAGAATGCTGTCACTTTAACAGGCTGATGAAGCAGCAGTGTAAAATATCTTGTCTGAAAAGGGCTTATGATGACGGTGCAATTTAAAGACATCAGCAGATCAAGAGCACCACGAGTATACTGGCGTATTAGCAGTTCCCATTTTGAGTGTATCCTCAGACAACTTTCACTGAATCGCTTATAAATACAGTGATGCTCTGGAAATTTCTAAAGAGTCTTTTTTTTCTATGATTTGAAATGGAAATTTTGGGCATTTATTTATAACTGACATTCCAGATAATGTCACTGAATGTGTCCAGCGTCTGTAAAATGACCTCATATATAGCTGTAATCAGTGCACTGCAGTTTGTGTGTGAGGATAATTCTCAGGCTGTTAGCAGTCTGCGGTGATATCACAGCTCTGTGTGTGCATTACTGCCTGTGACATTACTGTAGGTCCATTACTGGTCAGTCCTATCAGGAGCTCCCTCTAATGTTTAAAGATGGTCATAATGGTTATGGTAGTATCAGTGTCCCATCATATTAGCAGCCAGCAGTTTGTTGTGTTCTTCTCTTTGTAATCGTCAAGCTATTACCAGTTGAGGGTCACTTCAGTAGCTCGGGGTTTGTTTGTTGGTTGTTTGTCTGTAATACCACTATAGGTCCCTTTCAGTCAGAGATGGTCCCTGTAGCTTTTGATTAGCCTGTGGCCAGCAGAACAAGACTCTGATTGGAGCGACACTAATCAGCACTTCACACTTCTCCTGCTCTCATTACTGGTAATGAGCCAATCCACTGAACCCAGCGAGGGGCACCCGACTCAGCCAATTAGAGGCCTGTTTGTTCAAATAAACACAGACATGGTGGAATGGCATGGAAGAGGACATGGCACAGGCAGGCTGTGGGCATTATGAAATATGAATGGCCTCAGACATGGACAGATATAGCAAAAGGAATTAACTGTAATTTGATAATTCGATCGCCTTAATTGCCTTTCCGTTGTAGGAAGATTGTTAATATTTAAGACAGATTGGTCACGGCTGCTGAACATGCATGTATCTCTATGTACAAGTCCTGGTTGTGTGTGTGTTGGCAGAGTCTGAATGGCACATATTCATAATGAAGACGCTTTTCAGCCATGCTCTTTGAAATGGTGGCGCTTGGTGCCTTTTGGCTTGGTTTATTAATACAGTTAATATTAGATTTGTTTTCTGTGAATGTGTTCATATTGCTGTGTTTGTCTCTCTCTCTCTTTACAGAGGCAAGACAGCAGAGAGGTGTTGGTGGGAATGTTGTTCCTGGTGTTTCCCTTCATTCCTGCCAGTAACCTTTTCTTCAGGGTGGGATTTGTCGTGGCGGAGAGGGTTCTCTACATGCCGAGGTGAGTGTGGGACAGGTGGGCATCTACTGGTATATGTCTGTACAGATGGGTGAAAAAATAAAGCCGAAACCTCTACTTGTTATTATCAGCACAAATAATAAGCCTTTATTCAGAGGAACATGCATCTTTGGCCAATCAGATAGCTACCCCATCACCCACAAAAATGAACAAAAAGGCAAAACATGTGAATTTTGCACACAAGAAGTATTAAAATGGATTGAAATATCATGAGTTGAACTACCTACGGAGGTAGCCAGTTACATCTGTCCCGCCAAGGCACACTTTCTGTCAGCAAGGACCGTCTGAATTTTGTTTTAGGTTTTATAAGTTGTAAGAAGGTTAGGTTTGCTGTGTGGGGCCAGGTGAACCTTGGAGGGCATGAGCTAAGTAAGTGGGGCTGCTGCTTTGCTGTAGTCTTTAATGAATCCTGTGTAGAAATGAGCAAAGCCGAAAAATCCCTGAAACTGTTTGCGAGTGGCAGGCGGAGGCCACTAGCTACCACCACCACCTTAGTGGGTCTGCTTTCACTTGTCCTTCCTCTGCAACAAAGCCTGGGGAACTGACAGAGGCAGCATGAAACTAAGACTTTATGGCTTTAACGTACAATGTCTAAATGGACAAACACAAACCTGCATGTTGCGGAGGACATCGCTATTGAGAGCCTGAAAAGAGTGCAAGGGCATATGTGGGACCAAATGGCATCACTTGGTACTCAAAGTGTCCAAGAAGCGGTGTTGAAGGTGGTCTTCCAATCATCCCCTTCCTTAATTCTAGCAAAGTAGTGTGTGTTTGTTAAGTGCAGTTTTGTGTAGATGGAGACTTGTTGAAGTAGGGAGAGGACAGCTGTTCATGTAAGATATTTCATTAAGTCCTCCGAGTCAGTTCAAGGGTGTAGACTTGTCCTTTTCATCCACAAAGAAAAGCCATCACCTAAAGGGTAAGACCAGCTGAAAGGGATTCAGTCACAGATTTTTCCATAACTTCATGGTCAGATTTAGAAAGTTTTCTAGTCAGTAGGGGGAAGCAAGTCAGTGGCACAGCTATAAGGTTGATGAGGAGGAAGTCAACAGACCAAGTCCTAACTAGAGACGATTTGGAAGTCATGGGAGGTGAGAACACAGGAAGGTGAGACCAGAGGGAACAGCTAAATGTAGTCAATGTGAATGACAGAAAATACTGCAATTGGTAACAGAGGCAGTGGGCCAGTCGATGTGGGAACTGTGCAGTTTTAACCAGGAGAGACCTAAAACAATGGAGAGCCATGGGTGAGGGGGTTACAGAGAAGATGTGAAGAGTTCATTAGCAAAAACAGATAACTCCATGTTCACGAACCTTCAGACAACCAACTTCTCCATCGTCTACCTGAGACGAGAGCAATCAGACGTAAGTTATCTCTATTTTTGTCATTTCTACTGAGTCAGATCCACTCAGCTTCAGTTTGATTGATATTATCTCAAGCAAACAACAAAAAAATAAGTTCTGAAAATCTACAAAAATGGAGTTATCTGTTTTTGCAAATGAACTCTTCAGTATACTTTCATTGTGGTTACCTGTGGGGAGGAGTTTAATGGAGGCAGGACGGTGAGCCATGTGGGTGAGAAATGATCCGTCAAGAGCAAGAATGTGTTTGGCATCAGGAAGAATCTCTGTCAGGATGTCTGCTTCTAACAGTAGGTCAGAGTTGATGATGCTTGGAGCAGGTGGCGGAGGCTCATCGGTGCCTCCCCTCGTAGCTGATGATCTGCTGTAACCAGCTGCTGTTTCCTGTAAAAAGTGCAAAGCTTCAGGCTTCAACAAGATCAACAGGATTCAATATGAGGGGCAGTGTGAATGTCTGCATAGCTGACGGACATGTACCCATTATAGTATGAATAGAACCACACACGTCTGCTTTTCGATGTCCAAGTCCTCATCCGTCATGTAGACATGATAAATTGGCTCTTACAGCACTGAACATCACATCATTCCACTCACTGTGTGAAATTGCTGTGATTGTTAGATTTTCAGTTTCAGAGGGCTGCAAAAATTGACAGATGCAGTTACAGTGTTTCCTCCAGGATTTTTTCCAGTAGCGGGGGCAGCAGGCTCTCCGGGGAGTCGTGGCGACGAAAACAAATGACATTTGACTGCAGATTTGACTTTTACAACCTATTTATTGAATGGTCAGTTGAAAATGGCTTTTTAAAGGCTGAATGTAAACATTTAAATAACACAAATACAAAGAAAACAATAAAATTAAATGAATAAAAACTATAAATAATAATGTCTTGATGGGGCTGGAGAGTCAGTGGAAAAGTTCACACCCAGGCTCAGAACAATGAATGTTTCTGGGTTTTTTATAGAAGAGCTCTGAGGCTCTGTTGGAGGGAAATGAATGTAGAGGAAACACTGAGTTATCCTTGTTAGAAGGGAGGAAAGACTGCCGGGGGGGCGTATCAATATATACAGACCTGGCTGAATATAATGTGAATATATTGCTATTACTAGATATGGCAGAAACATGTATGCTCAAAAAAATAAAGGGAACACTAAAGTAACACATCCTAGATCTCAATGAATGAAATATTTCAGTTCAAAATCTTCATTCATTACGTAGTGGAATGCGTTGAGAATCAAAATTATTATCCCATGGAGGTCTGGATTTGGAGTCATACTCAAATTAAAAGTGGAGAATCACATCACAGGCTGATCCAGCTTCAGTGGAAATTCCTCCAGACCAATCAGAATGAGGCTCAGTAGTGTGTGTGTGGCCTCCACGTGCCTGTAGGACCTCCCTACAACACCTGGGCATGGTCCTGATGAGGCAGGATGTTCTCCTGAGGGATCTCCTCCCAGACCTGGATTAAAGCATCAGTCAGCTCCTGGACAGTCTGTGGTACAGCATGGCATTAGTGGATGGAACCAGACACGATGTCCCAGGTGTGGTCAGTTGGATTCAGGTCTGGGGAACGGGCCGGCCAGTCCACAGCATCAATGCCTTCAACATGCAGGAGCTGCTGACACACTTCAGCCACATGAGGCCGAGCATTGTCATACATCAGGAGGAACCCAGGGCCCACTGCTCCACCATATGGTCTCACAGTGGGTCTGAGAATCTCATCCTAGTACCTAATGGGCTGTGGGCCCTCCGAAGAAGTGCCTCCCCACACCATTACTGACCCACCAAACTGGTCATACTGGAGGATGCTGCAGGCAGCAGAACATTCTCCACAGCGTCTCCAGACTCTGTCACGTCTGTCACATGTGCTCAGTGTGAACCTGCTCTCATCCGTGAAGAGCCAAAGGTCAATCTGCCAACCTTGGTGTTCTCTGGCAAACACCAGTCGCCCTGCACGGTGCTGGGCTGTAAGCACAAGCCCCACTGGTGGATGTGGGGCCCTCAGACCACCTCATGGAGTCTGGTTCTGACAGTTTGAGCAGAAACATGCATATTAGTGACCTGCTGGAGGTCATTCTGCAGCTCTGGCAGAGCTCCTCCTGGTCCTCCTGCACAGAGGAGGAGGTAGCGTCCTGCTGCTGGGTTGTTGCCCTTCTACAGCCCCCTCCATGTCTCCTGGTGTACTGGCCTGTCTCCTGGTATCTCCTCCAGGCTCTGGACACTGTGCTGAGAGACACAGCAAACCTTCTCGTACTGATGTGCCATCCTGGATGAGCTGCACTACCTGAGCAGCTTGTGTGGGTTGTAGACACGCCTCATGCTGCCTCTAGGGCTGAGAGCACTGACAAGATGCAAAAGTGACCAAAACATCAACCAGAAAGGACGAGAACAGAGACATGGTCTGTGGTCACCACCTGCACTCCTTTATAGTGGTTGTCCTGGTAACTGCCTCTCCACCTGGTGTCTGCTCCATCTGCACAACAGCAGGTGGAACTAATTTACCATCAGTGCTGCTTCCTACCTGGACAGGTTGGTTTCACAGAAGTGACAGACTTGGAGTTACATTGTGTTGTTTAGATGTTCCCTTTATTTTTTGAGCAGTGTATATTAAATACGTGCATATAAATCATTACAATAAAAAAAAGCTGGATGTTCATACACAGATGTTTTTAGTCATACACCCTCCCACACCTCGTCTCTGCCATCCCGGTGTCATAAAATAACAGCAAAATCTCCAGAAAAATACTTCAAACTGAAGCTAATTAATAAGAAATAATAAACTGCAACTGAATGGCTCAGTGTCACATCCCCACTGATTCTCTCTTAGTGCTGTATAACTGCTGGGTGCTGTCTTCCAGGCAGCATCACGGACAACACTGGTAGAAATTCATATTGTGGGATTCTTTCAAGTGACTGGTTCAGTTCTTACTTCAGAAATGGCCTCAGCTGAGCAAGATGTCTCAGCCACAGATGAAAATGTTCTTGGTAGTTCGATGTATGAATGTTTGAAAGATGTAATAAGGTGACAAGTACGCACTTCCTCGCAGCTCTGGATGGAGTACAGTTTGGCTGTGCTTTAGTGTGTGTGTGTGTGTGTGTGTGTGTGTGTGTGTGTGTGTGTGTGTGTGTGTAGGTAGGTGTGTGTGTAGGGTCATCACTTACACAGCAGTATCACTCTCTGCTGCACATCACTTTCAAGTCAAGAGCCTCTCCTCTCTCATTGAAGAGTCTCTGCTTGCTTGTTTAGATGCTCTCAGTCACTCTCTTTTTCCTCCTTCTCTCTCAGTTAATCTGTCCATTATTCCCTCTGTCCATGCTCTGAGTGTCAGTCTCCTTCCATGTCTCCCCCATTAAGACACACTCCACATCCCTTGCTTTAAGTCTTTTTTGGACACTTCTTTTCTCATTTTCAGTTTACAGCCTGCATTGCTTAAAAGGTCAGAATTTAGTTGACTGTGTCAATTCCCCAAAGCTGTTTATTGGCCTCCAGTTTGATGCTTGCAGCTTTTATGAACTACCAAACACTCATCAGAACTACTTTACACTTGACACTGACCGTAGAATCAGTGCTGTGTCAATAAGTCAACATATTACCTTCCATGTGACTGCTGTGTTATTATGT